ATAAACTATAACCGCGTCCTGGGTAAGACGATGAACTATAACCGCGTCCTGGGTATGACGTTAAACTACATCCGCGTCCTGGGTAAGACCTTAAACTACATCCGCGTCCTGGGTAAGACGATAAACTATAACCGCGTCCTGGGTATGACGTTAAACTACATCCGCGTCCTGGGTAAGACGATAAACTATAACCGCGTCCTGGGTATGACGTTAAACTACATCCGCGTCCTGGGTAAGACGATAAACTACATCCGCGTCCTGGGTAAGACGATAAACTATATCCGCGTCCTGGGTAAGACGATAAACTATATCCGCGTCCTGGGTATGACGATAAACTATATCCGCGTCCTGGGTATGACGATAAACTATAACCGCGTCCTGGGTATGACGATAAACTACGTCCAACAGCAAGGCCTCTGATCAGGTGGTTTTGAGCAGCGAGGAATCACCTCTTAATTGCTGATGTTCCCAGGTCCACCCTGACTCGGGGTGGTAGCACCTTTTAGGGTCCCAACTATGGGCAAATAGTTAGCCCCTAAAATCGGGTTAAAACACTATGAAAGTGTAAAATAAGTTTTAATACCAGCAATAAATTCTTTGAAGAGAAAATTATTACCAGCATTACATTATTACTAGCAATACGTTCTTGAAGAAGATAAATATTAGCAGCAATACATTTTTGATAAAAATATTACCAGTGGTAAAAATCTTGTCGGCATTCTGGTTGATATGCCATAGAACAAACCAAAATATCAACTTGGAGAAGCTCTAATAGTCACACTCAGCATATGTAGACAATAGACAAGTAAATTTAATTTTGACTAATGTCTAAATTAAAACAAAATTTATTGGTGGTAGTAATAATACTAACAATAATAATAATAATTTATAATATAAAAAATAAATAAAAAACAAGATAGATAGATAGATAGATAGTCACACATTATGAAATGGACAAAGTCCGACAATTATTTTAAGTCATTTTTTTATGTTTATACATTCTATTTATAGATACAAATATTTAAATAAATGCTCTGTTTATAATAAACAGTATTAACGACATTTACCGGCCTGATGTCGGAGGACGCATATTTTCTATGAAAATTTCTCGGACATTCTGGCCGGTAAATGTCGTTAATACTGTTTATTATAAACAGAGCATTTATTTAAATATTTGTATCTTTAGATAGATAGATAGATAGATAGATAGATAGATAGATAGATAGATAGATAGATAGATAAAAATATTACTAGCAATAAAAATCTTATCGGCATTAAATAACCCATTAAGGTTGATATGCCATAAAACAAACCAAAATATCAACTTGGAGAAGCTCTAACAGTCACACTCAGCATATGTAGGCAATAGATAAATTGATTTAATTTTGACTAATGTCTAAATTAAAGCAAAATTTACTGGTGGTAGTAATAGTAGTAACAATAATAATAATAATTTTTAATATAAAAAATGAATAAATAAAAATCAAAAACTCAGATAGATAGATAGATAGATAGATAGATAGATAGATAGATAGATAGATAGATAGATAGATAGGAAGAATGAGAAATAAAGAAAAAAGAGAACAAAAGAAATAGATATAAAGAAAGAAAGATAACAATACTAAAAGATAGATAGATAGATAGATAGATAGATAGATAGATAGATAGATAGATAGATAGATACGAAGGGATAAAAAGGGAGGGATAGACATGAAGAGACCATAATAGATAGATAGATAGATAGATAGATAGATAGATAGATACGACAAGACTGAGATAGATAGATAGATAGATAGATAGATAGATAGATAGATAGATAGATACATAAAATATTACCTGCAATAAAAATCTTGTCGGCATTAAATAACCCATTGAGGTTGATATGCCGTAAAACAAACCAAATAAAATTTGTGTTCATGTTATTCTACATTTTTCCCCAGTAACGCCGGATATCCTTGCTTGGAATTAATAACCGTGTCCAATAGATAGGTATTCAAAGCGGCTTGAACCAGTTACATGCGTGGATATCCAGAGGCAAAGTAACTGACTATTGCGGCGTAGTAGATCTTCTATATATGCTAACCCCGGCCTGACACTTTCAAAAAATAATCTATTAAAGATACCGGCGAATTCTTTATTTTGCGATTATTAAAATACATTTATTATTTCAAAACAAATCAAGCGCTTTCTGTAGCAGAAAGAAAGAACTTTTAATCATTTTTTTAAAAGTTCGATATAATTTTTTTTTCCTTTTTGTTCATCTTGACGAAGATTTTCTCGGGGGATGTTTTGTATTTTTACCATAAATATAACTAAATAATTCAAAATTATTATCGAACATATATTTTGTTTTATTTCAGCTATTCAGTCTAAAATTTTCCTTGTTCAGGAATAATTCTTTCCTAGGGGCTTTTTCCGCAATAATTAACATGATTCTCAGTATTAAGTAGGATATTTTTAAAAATATTAAACACTTATTCAAAAATATGCCGTATTACGCAGGTTTCTTTAGGGCCAGAAGATATTTAAATTAAGAAAACATATTTTAGTAAGTCTTTGGTACATAGAAAATTTTCGATATATAAATTTATTCATTGATGCATGAAGAAAAATTTTATTAATTTCAATAATTAAATTTCTTTACAGATTTGTCCAACTATCATAATGGCTACTGAAAGTGAAACTAGCGACCCGAGTTCAAATTCTGTATTCGTTTTCTTTTGCATTAATGACGTTATCAGATAACATGAAACTGTATTTTCTAGCCAATGTTTTTATCATTTCTCCCCAAGCAAGGTGATAAAGCCGCTAAGACGCAATGAATTGATGAAAATGGAATAATCCTAGAGAAACATTATTAAGAGAGAAGACAATAAAAGAATGGATTCCAAGGAATTAGAAGACAACTATTGACATTCCATTTAAATTTTTGAAGATCAAATTTCACTGGAAAGCAAGAGTTTCACAGGCAAGAAATGCGAGAAAAAAACTGTTAGTATAGAACTTATGGTAATATCTAGCAATTTAAACTGTAATATGATGAGACCTAACAGACAATCTAGTACTGCACTTAAATTTGTGAAGACATCTGGTCTGGTGCTTCTGTTATGTATTTAACGCCGGATATACCTGCTTGGAATTAATAACTGTGTCCAATAGATAAGTAGTCAAAGCAGTTTGAACCAGTTATATGCGTGGATATCCAGAGGCAAAATAACTGGCTATTGCATAGTAGATCTTCCATATATGCTTACCCCGTCCTGACGCTTTCAAAAATAATCTATTAAAGATAACAGTGAATTCTTAATTTTGCTATTAATAAAATTCAAAGAAGAACCTGCAATTTTATTGGCTCTGACCTTGCATCTCGGCTTCAGTACCTTTCCTACTGCCGTAATGTGGCTTCCCTGTGCCTTTTCTATAAATATTTTTTTATGGTAACTGTTCTGATTAACTTCCCACTATAGTACCTAGTGTTTATTAATTTAAACGCAGTACTAGATTGGCGGAAAGGTCTCATTATTTTATAGTTGAAATAACAGAATGTAATCGCTAGTTTTATGCTAACAGCTTCTTCTATGGCACTTCTCACTTATGCAACTCTCTGTCAACTTCTTGCTTTCCGGTTAACTTTGATCTTCCAAATTTTGAATGCAATGCCAAACGCCATCTTCTTAATTCTTATGCTTTGATTTTTCTCTCCCTGTAATAGTTTTTTTTTTTATCATCCTGTCTAATACTCATTAACTGCTAGAGTTCCAACTATAAGCAAATAGTGACCCACCCCAAATAAAACACTGTGAAAGTATAAAATAAGCAGTAATATATTTTTACATAAAACATTACCAACAATACCTAGTTATATTAAAATTATCAACAGTACAATTTTAAAGCAAAATGGCCAACAATGCATTTATCTGTAGTTGAAAGAATACAATTGCGTTCAAATATATTTAGATGAAGCCACAAAACTGTGTTCAAAATATTTTAATTTCGGCATTAAATGACCCATAGCAGTGTTGCTATGCTGCTAAACAAAATCACCAACAAACCCTTAATAGTTATTAGTCGAATGTAGAGCTGGACAGCAACTGACCTTCAACAAAGACCAGAATCTGACCCTCCTGGAGGTCATTTCAGTTTTGAAGGGGGGTCAATTTGGCTGGAAAAAAAATTTCAGCCCAAACCTCACATTCTTATTGTCTGGTACACGTGTTGTTTTGAGTTTTATTACAATCACCACCACCACTACTACCCTTATCGTCACCACCACCACCATCATCATCACCATCATCATCATCACCAACACCATCATGACCATTACCACCACCATCACCATCATGATCTCCACCACCTCGACCATCATCATCACCACTACCATTATCATCACCACCACTACTACCACCACCATCATGACCATTACCACCACCATCACCATCATAATAGCCACCACCACTACTACCGCCACCATCATGACCATTACCACCACTATCACCATCATAATCACCACCACCACCATCATGATCACCAGTACCATTATCATCACCACCATTACTACCATCATCATCTTCGTTATCATCATCACCACCATTACCACCACCATGACCACCATCATCATCATCATCATCATAATCAATAATAATTCTGTTACGATCAGTATCCATTAGAATCTTTATAAGTTTAATTCTGTGGCTCGTCTTTTTGATTGTCTGGTAAAGTTCGCATTCATTTGCAACTGGTTTCTTTTTGAAAAGCCCTTGAAGATTGATCTCTTCATGGCAGACTTTATGGTACTGTCGTGAGCTTAATTTCTCATTTCTAACAACTAATCAATCACGGAATGTCACAACGACAAATAAATTGTTTTAAATATTTTTAAAAGAAATAATCTATTATGGAATGCAATTCATGCGGAAATTTTACAAAGACAGGTTGATTGATAAACATAATAAAATCTGGTCAAGACATGTAGATGAATAGACGAAGATAGATATGAGTAATCAGATAGATAGATAGATATGAACAGAGATAGATAGATAGATAGATAGATAGATAGATAGATAGATAGATAGATAATAATGAACATAGTCATATATAAAGATATGCAATAAAGCAAAATAGATAGATAAATAGATAGATAGATAATGAACATAGCCATATATAAAGATATGCAACAAAGTAAAATAGATAGATAGAATATGAACATTGATAATGAAAATAGCAACATATAAAGCTAAACAACAAAGAAAAAATAGATAGATAGATAGATAGATAGATAGATAGATAAAAAATATTGTCAGCAATAAAAATCTTGTCGACATTAAATAACCCATTGAGGTTGATATGCCGTAAACCAAACCAAACCAAACCAATATATACTGTGATAGATAGATAGATAGATATGAACAGAGATAGATAGATAGATAGATAGATAGATAGATAATGAACATAGCCATATATAGAGATATGCAACAAAGTAAAATAGATAGATAGAATATGAACATTGATAATGAAAATAGTAACATATAAAGCTAAACAACAAAGAAAAATAGATAGATAGATAGATAGATAGATAGATAGAAAATGAAGACAGAAAATGAAGATAGATAGATAGATAGATAGATAGATAGATAATGGTGATTACAGTTTTAAAAGATATGAAATCACTAAGACAAACATTGACAGAGAGGAACGAAATGCTGACATGTTGACTAGCCTTGAGGTAAATAGTTATACTGACATATTCGTTTCGTATGTGTTTTTTTGCGTCCAGTGTATTTAGTTGTTGCATGTGTGTGCATATGTGTTTATTGTATATGTATGCTGGTAGAGGTACTGCTACTAGTTTTATTTGCTTATTTATGTGTGTTTACGTCTGTGTCTGCGAATTTAAGAAGAAATTACGTTTTTCATTCTTCTAGTCAACCTCGGCCCATTCAGCCCTGCATCAATCTCTAACGCACGAGAATCTCGAACTCACGAGACTTGTTGGACATTGTTTGTCCCCTTTGACCTTTTTAACAGCCATTGATGCGAAAACGCTACGCAAGTCGTCTTGATTCTTTCCTTTGAGTAAAAAAAAAAAAAGAAGAAAAATGAAGAAATTATGTTTAAAAAAGAAAAAAAAATGTCTACATTTACTGTCCAACTCACGGGTATTTTTTGTTAGCGTTGCAGGCTGTTTAGTCATATGATTGCCTTCATTAAGGCGGACATTTTATATTGTTCAAAAGTTTCTCAAACATGGCCGACTAGAAAAGGTCTTCGCTTGTTAGCAGTTTATACCTTCAGTAGCCTACCACAATGGCGCGGAATTTTCACAAGCGGGTGATTTAGCCAGGAACACTTAGCAAAAGAAAAAAAAAAAGTAAAAAACGAAAAATCTATATGAAACGAAAAAAATAAAACACGTTAGAAGAATATATATATATATATATATATATATATATATATATATATATATATATATATATATATGACTTCAAAAGCGTTTTACCTAAGGATTTAGTTGAACGCTTAGAATATCGTCTCATAACATTATGATTATAAGGTTTTAATTTAATCGCTATGTTAATCATGGAAGGGTTACCTTAACAGTTACTGACCTCAAGAATTGGAATGGTAAGGGCAGGGTTCAAATCTCGACCTAGACTATTGCATTCACTTTCGCACTCATGCCAATAAATCTATCTTTTCTCTTCTTAGCTTCTTGTGTGTTAAACAAACTAAGATAAAGCAATTTTTTGTTTTTTGGCTTTTACGTCTTACCAACCCTTTATAGGTTAATTAAAGCCATAACTATATTGGATAGCAATAATTATTTTTTTTTATTTTGGCGAGTGAATTATACATTAAAAATAGTTTTAGAATAACAGCGATACAAGCCTTGTTATTTAACCCATACCTGGATGAAGGTAATGAACGCATTGGTTTTCTAATCGCTGTTTGCGCCCAACTGAATGTAATGACCCGTAAGAGGAGGAAATTGCTGAATTCTAAATCATGAAGAAGGCAACGGGAACACATTTCACTATATTTCCGTGGAAGCCATAACAGTTTTCATATATACAGTTCTACTGAAAGAATTCAAGCCAGTACTATCTCCCGCATAGTCAGATCATCAACAATTGAAACAATTCTTCCACCAGGTTTATTCTAGTTAGGAGGTTAGCTTGACATGATCATTGTGGTAGACTGGACCCCAGAGATATAGATACAGCCATTGCACTTGGTATCACTGCACTTGGTATCCTCGTCGATAAACGTCGATTTTAACATCAAATAAACTGAAAACTACAGACATCAAGTTTATCGACGAGGATCACTTCACACTATGGATTAACAGTATTGTAATGCATATATTATGTTTCTAGCGATGGATGTCGCCAATAATCGCATTAATACTTCTGATTGATTCTATGTGTGATTGGTTCTTTGTATGTAAATTATATGCTGCCTAATGTTTTATGTTTATATATATATATATATATATATATATATATATATATATATATATATATATATATATATATATATACTGCTAATATATATATATATATATGTTGTTAATACACATATATATATATATATATATATATTGTAATATATATATATATATATATATATATATATAATTTATTAATTATTACTTTTAATATTTTAATAATGATAGCTTTGAGAATTTATAGTTTCTGCTTATTCTTGGTTAAATATACAGGTATTGTCGACTAATATTATTCGAAATTGTGAATGTGGACAGGAATGATTTTTGCAGATATGCAATGGACGGTGAATCGTTCATGCATAGCGTGACCCATCTTGATAACGTTATTGTAGAATAACCAACATATACATTAGGTTTACGTCGGAGAAGTAATATCTCTCCCCCCTCTCTCTCTCTCTCCCCTCTCTCTATATATATATATATATATATATATATATATATATATATATATATATATATATATATATATATATATATATATATATGTGTGTGTGTGTGAGCGTGTGTGTGTGTGTGTGTGTGTGTATAGCATTATTTTCATTTAATTCCACATGGACTAATGACTACCCGTTTTCCCTACATATACGATCAGCCACGCTTAATGACAACTGTGTATTTAGGCACCAATCCCTATTTTATACAAGTTTCGTTAAGGACGACTGACAAGTTATTGCGCTGAAGATTTTTTAATTAATTTTTCTTGAGTTCGTATGTGTTTTCTTTTTGGGACAGAAATTGTGTAAAAACTGTCCAAATGTTTCGCATATCTGAGCGCTTTCGAATATACGTTTTGACATTAAAAAAAAAAACATGATTTTTATTTTTGAGTAAATATGTGGGAGGTTTTTTATGTATGTGTCTGAAGTAAGTAATTACTCTGTCCCCCACCACTAGGACGAGATGTGACACAAGGTCTATTTTTATGTGGGGACCCGAGCATGTACACCCGGGATAGGAACAAAAATTCCCCTCAGCTCCCGCAATCACCGGTTGCGCTGGCCTCGGTGCGAGCAGCGGCGCCTCCCTCTGGTGCAATGGGAGGGCTGCAGCCTCGGGCAGCTGTTCCCTAGGGCTGGGCACCTCTTCAGTATTATTTTCTCAGTTGGCCCTCTGTCCTTTGACAGAGAAGACCCTGAGCGCACTCTGTCCAAGGACAGAGACGCAACTGAGAGATGATAAGTAGATGTGGACCTACTCAAAAAGAGTTATGTGTCTGAATTAATAGGAATGTTTTGTTTTCCAAACATGATCAGCACATTGTGGCCGTTATCATCGTTAATCGCTGTCTTCATCTGTGAGTTAAATTCATTTAACTCTAAAGTGAAAAACAGTAAGGTTATGTACTGTAAGGTTTATATTTTACGTTTGAAACCTCAGCGACGTTAACTAAGTCTGAAATGTCCATATGGTCTGTTTGTTTTTTTAATTAAATTTTAGATGATAAAACAACAACATTGTGATGATGATATTGTGCTAATCTTGAAAGTACACAGAATAAATGAATATGTATCAATATGGTAATTTTCACTCTCCTATAAATAAGGATACTAAGAAGCTTGTCTGTGAACATGAGAGGATCCTATTAAACATAAGCGGACAAAACTTGTCTAAATTATTCAACGAAATATGATTTAACCCTTTGAGCCCTGAACACCGTTTTACCGGTAGTAGAAAAAAATGGCGTAATGCCTACTGACCGATTGAACAGTGGCAGAGAAAAATGACTTAGTGCCCAGCCACCGTTTGAACGTTGGGTAAACATGTGTTACCATTTTTATATATACCGCGAAACATTACATGCCAATTATTTGCGAATTTTGACTCAGGAGCTGAAGCCGAAGGGTGAAAATTGTTCAAGAACGCAGAGCTCAAAAAAGGTTAATATATATATATATATATATATATATATATATATATATATATATATATATATATATTTAAGTAACGAAAATCTTGGTGGATAATCCCAAGGAGGATGAAATCCGGACAGCTCAGTGTTCAAAAGTGTAAATTTTAAATTCATTTTTTCACACTTGAAAGTGAAATCTGAAGATCTAGAGAAAAATAAAATCTCTGGTGAAATAAATTATAACAATGGAAACTTAAAGTAATCTGTTTTTTTCATTAAATTAAAATACTTAGATAGAGCGTAGGTAAATATAAATATAAAAGTGAACACTGAAGTCAAGACTCAGAGGCAACAGGCTGTTACATGCGAGACGCAATCGGCGGCATAATGATTGCGTCCATCTATGAGTGTTGACTTCAATGTTAAATTATATATATATATATATACATTGTGTGTATTAAAACAACATGCCTGCCCGCACACACAATTCCGTAAAATACTTGTCGAAAACACAACTATACTTCGACATGAAAACAATAGACAAAAACTAAAAATCCTTGAAGCATTATACATCAATCAGTTAAAACGCAACCTAAACAAAATCAATTATGGCATGTCTACAAATATTCTTAAATGTCTATAATTGGTAACAGAAGCCATTGGTTTATACCAACGGCTTTCCTTACTTCGTTCTACAATTCACTCTCGTGTAGTCATGTGTGACGTCATGTGATGCTGTGCGATTTTCGATTCTAGCGTCTTATATGCGCGTGTTTATCGTTGCTTAGTGATTAACTATGTAAACAATGACAGACTATCATCACTGTCGTGTCCGTATATTGTTTAATATGTTTGTGATTTACATCTTTGATAATGGCTTAAGTAAGCCGAAAGCTTAGATTATATTAAAAAAATATGGATCAATATTGTGAATTTCTTTCTTCGTTTAATGATAATGTTATCAAACTTATCAGATGTTACGAACAAATTTTACATAAAATAAATAGACAACACTTGTCTATATTATTTAATGAAACGTATATATATATATATATATATATATATATATATATATTATGACTGAAAATGTTATATTTAGTAAGTACACCTGCTTCGGTAGACAGAGTTTTTTGGGGTTTTTTTAATAGGGAAATTAATGTATGCTGGGAAAGAAATCGAAGATGTTAATATAGTAAATTTATTTCCCACCTGATAGATATTAATTTCATTATTAAAAAAAGACTGAAAACACGTACGCACGTACGCACGTACGCGCATGCGCTAACGTATGTGTGCATTATTGTTGTCAATTTGTTCATTATCTCTTGGAGATCGTAAGGGCGTGTCCTTTACTGCACGATTGCATATAACAAAGGGAAAGCGATTAGTCTTGGAGAAATCCCTAATCTCCGAACGACCGTCGACCGGTACATGTAAC